AAAAAAAAATAGACTTTTAAATTTCCGTGGAAAGACTTAATCCAAAACTGGGTTGACAGTCCAAACCTGTGTTACCAGAACTAGAAGACTTTAATTGCCAAATTGCAAATATTTCCAAACACTTGAAGTTCCTCAAATATCTCTCTTCTTAGCATTTGCAATGTGGTCAACACAGTTTTCCATACATGTTTCAGGGCAGGAAAAATAAATTGAAATCCACTTGCCCAGTGGGCCAGTAAATTTCAGTTTTCACCTTACCCTAATCAAATATTACTTACCCACGTGGTGGCCAGTATAGCAATCAGAGGGCAAACGCGAACAAAGTATGCTAGGATTCCTAACTAATCCATGCTTTCAACTCAATGGTTAACTAATCATGCAGTCTTAAGTTTTGAAATAGCTCCTGACTGTAAATTATCATTTATTAAGCTGACATTTTCATTTACACTAACAAGACTACTGAGGCTGATTTCGCTTGCCCACCAGGCCACTGAACTTCTATTTTCACTTGCCCAAGAGCAAAATTTACTTGCCCTGGGCAATTGGACCTGGGTTTTTTTCCTGCCCTACATGTTTGATATATTACTTCAATATTGCCAAGTGTTATCTTACCAAAAAGGTTTCATTGAACTCAAAGGAGCAAGGAAACTGCCTGGTGAGTTGGTGAACACAGTCAAGCCACTGAAGAAATACTGGACATCTCTGGTTTTCGTCATGATTCTGCCCGTGACCACACCTATCGGCAAAACGATGACCAAACTCCAACCACTCACGTGTCACCAATACTTGGAAGCCCTATCAGGAAACAACAACGAAAACATTCTATGGGAAAATTCTTGCATGAAAAGTGAAACCCATGTTGAATTTAGAAGGAAAGAATCACATTTCACAAACTGTTACAAAACAAGGAATTCAGTGTTGGCTTCAAAGCCAACTTGAATGTGGAGGTTATAAATCAAGTAATTTACCCTCAGTTGAGTGTCGTAAAACCAAAACCAAACAAATAAGACTATTCAACCAGTCTCAAACCAAAGTAAAACGAACACCAATGTAATTACCTGATTACTTTCAACGCTCAATTGAAAACTTTTTTATTTATTTATTTATTTTTGAAACATGCTCTAACATCACTAATTAGAAAATAAATTGCAGTCTTAGTAACAAAGAAGTACACAATGATGAGTTCCACTGTTTATGGGTTACCGCCCTACAGTAAACCAGGTGATTCATACACAATATCTTGTACATTATTATTCTTGTACCTCAATTGTCCTGTAGTATGGGTCCAACATCAGCTCTGCCAGGGCAACAATCTGAGTTGTTCTGTCCCAGCCATCACTGCAGTGAACCACCACAGGTCTCTGCTCCTTATCAATGGCATTTACCACAATGTTGGTTGCCTTCAGTAACAGTGAAATATTGTGAAGCCAATTGGTCTTCTCCAAACTGGACCACCAACTAAGTAAACCACAAATTTATATTTCTGTTAAATTTATGACTAAGAAGGTAAGGAAAACACATTTTAGGTATTAGGGAAAACTTAAAACTCTTAACTAGTGTGGACTCCGAGGCTTGGAGGCCTCATGGTCAGTATGCACAACTCTGGATTGAGTGATCCAGGTTTGAACCCTGGCTGGGGTCACTGCATTGTGTTCTTGAGCGGACACTTTACTCTCCTGGGGCCTCCCTCCACCCACATATATAAATGGGTACTCAGTCTTGCAATTTTAACGCTGGGAGGTAGCCCCGTGATGGACTAGCATCCCATCCAGGGCTCTATATAAGGGCTGTAAACTGTAACACCTGTTGCTGCTGAGTATGTTTGATGGACCCTTGATGTTACGGGTGAACAGGCAAGTATTTGATACAATTCACCCATAATGTAACAAGTTTGCTATGGGTGTGAAGATCAAGGCTACAGCTGAATTAAAACTTAATGACAGCCCTGCCATCCAGGGTGAGTACTCTTAATCCTTTCATGCTACAGAAACCAGAGATAAGCGCTGCCCTGATGGGCCACTTGGCTTGCATGAAGACTCAACCTTCTACCTAATACTTACTTAGGTGCATCCCTCGGACCAGAACACAATGTTCTCAGACTATGGAAGCTCTTCCTTATAGCATGGATGTTTGCTAGGTTCATAAACAACACTTCACAGCCTGGGTAATACTCTGATAGACAAAACAAGAAATGTCTTACACTAATTCCACTTGAGAAAAACATAAATTATATCCCCGAGTCTCCGATGCACCAAGAAGACAAAGGGTTCAGAGGGCGAGGAAAAAATTCCAATCCAGTTGTCCGGGACAAGTAGATTATCCTACCAGGCAAGTTACTTTTCATTCTCACTTCCCCGATGGGCAAGGGCCCAGGCAAGTTGTCTGCTAACTAAATAACAAATACAATAAGTTCAGACTTGTCCAGGCAAGAAAAATTCCAGATCTGCTTATCTGAATTGGGAGAGCTGGAATTCATTTTTTCCCCAACCCTCAGTTCATGTCCAAAACATTTAATAATTTTGGCCATCACACTGATAATAAACTAAGGACTTTCAGTTTTCTGCAGACATAGCGTGACTCTGAAATCACAAGATAGAGTCAATTGTCATATCAAAGATCAACAAACCAACTTACCTTCACACTCGCAACCTCCCCCTTTGGCCCTATTGACCACAGCAGCAGAGTAGGCCCGAGCATCTACAACCAGAACTTTGCGTTGTTCCACAGCACCACTCTTTGATGATGCTTTCTTATTCTCATCATCATTATCACTACCATCCTGGATTATATCCCCATTAGGAATGGCATCCATGTGGCCATTTTTGTGATAATTTTTGTGGCCCATCTCCTTCAGAAGTTGCTTCTTAAGGGAAGCAGACACAGAGTCCATTGCACAGGCTGTTCCTATTGCGTGTAGAAGGTTTTCATCCTCCTGACTGCGCCAGCCAAGCCAGCCCACCTCAGGTTGACTACAACGTGCTATTACTGCTCCATTGGTCATGTGCCTATGTACGGACAAAGAAGTTAAGAAATTGCGATGTTACTTGAAATTAGAAGCTGATGACCAAAGGATTTATTCTCTATGTATTTTATTACCTCCACACAACAGATGGAAATCTTCCTGAAGTCCTGAACTTTACCACAGCCTCCATCTCATTGTCTGAAATCATGGCTGGCACAATGTGAAGTTTGGGATAGGTGGAGCATAACCTAAAAGACAAGAAAATTAAAACAAGTGCGACAAGGGGAGTTGAGGCTACCTAAGAATAGTGTGCTGGACTTCAGCTAAGCTCTGGGTTTGAGTTCTGGCCAGGGTTGCTGTGTTGTGTTCTATGGCAAGACAATACCACAAGGCTTATCCTACAAAGATGGGGGGTAGGGGAGGGGGGAGGGTAATAATGGTTTCATAGTGCACTAAGCGGCAAAATATATAGCACAATCTTCACTTTATAAATGGCTTTGTGTATTAAGCCACAACGATAAAATGAGAAACTAAACAAACCAAAAAAAATGACAATGTCACGATTAAACTTACCTAAAGTTGGAGTTTATGTCTGTGATCCTCCAGGCATCATGGAGATTATCAAAACCCATTCTCCTAACCTCCGACATGANGCCCGTTAGGCAGCAGCCTTGATTTTACAGACAAATCCCAGATTTCTGTATTGGTTAGCAATCATTCTTGACTTCTGAAAACATGATAGATTATTCATAATTGTCTGGAATGACTGTAATATTTATTTATTATCACGGAACAAATTTTCAAGTCTACAAACAATTTTTGACTTGCATCTTTCCATCATCATTTCCAACAGAATCCAATGATCACTTAAGTCTAATTATTAGGAATACATACTCAGACATCAACAACAATCCCATTAATCACTGAGAAACTGGAGAATTTAATTTGGGGGATTTTCCACATTTCTTCAGCATAGTCTTCTTGAAGACAAAATATCTAACACATTAACTGCAAAAAAAATTGTGGATGTTTTAATTTGGACAACAATTTTGGACACTTTGACGAAACATAGCTAACAAAAGTAAATTTACGCCTACAAAACATGGATTAGACCAAGACATTATCTGTGAATGACAGTTTAACTGCACCCTCAAGGTTATAGCAATACACTGACATATCTCAATTAAAGCAGTGTCTCGACCAGAGTTTGCTCCATAAAGGAAACTATGAGCTTTGGAGCTACTTTAAAATTATCTATTGTAATGTAAAAATATTTCGGACGCTTAAAAATGTTGGACGGTTTTATTTTTTAGACACTTTTTTTTCCCGAAATTAAAATCGTTCAATTTTGTTTTTCAAGTTATGTAAGTATGTTTCCTACCAACCTCTTTGACAGAAGGTGGTAAATTCACCCTCTTGTACTGAGTTAGACTGCTTTGAGTCCAAGCACCAAGCATGGAAAGCAAAAGCAAAAAGATCTTCAAGGCGTGAGATGGGGGAAATGCAGAGGATCAGACGGTGATAACAATTCAAGCACTGCTCACTGTTGTCAAATAAAATCCTGAAGAACATACAACGAAATAACAATGAAATTCAAGTATAAAATATGTCAATAAATATTTACAATTCCATGTTAAAGTGGATCTCTGGGTATGAAGGACTTGTTAAATTAGGTACAGAGAATCTAAATATAGCCCTGATCATCTCATGGAAGAACTGCTGACTAAAAACCAAAACCAAAATTACCAAAAATAGTTATGAGTAATTTCCAGGAGGATCTTGGGACATAAAGATTATTTAACCAAATTGTAATTTTTTTCTCATTATTTGTAAATTATTTGTAGTTTAGTATCCAAATTCATTTTAATCATTTGAAGAATTTAATTACCCACCTAAATGATCTAGCATCTTTACAGTTGATATCCATCAAGAAAAGATCCTTCATTTCCACAGACTCTATTAAACGCAAAGGGACCTGGCAAGGAGAAAGAGTATGTAACAAAAAGATGCATTAATAATAGATATTTTCCAAAAAAAATTAAATATTTCATAAATGATATTAAACATAGTTTAATGGAAGGTTCCATTAAATTCCAAGTCATTCACAGTAAAAATTACAGGTACTAAAAAATCCTTACTGATATGGTCCATTGAAATAATTGTGCTAAACTTACATTCACAAATGAATCGTTAAAGCGAATGAAGAGACGAAAGTTTGAAAGGGCAAGAATGGCATCAGATGTCCTTTCAAGATATTCGACACTTTCACCACAGAGCTCAGGAAATGGCACCTGGGCAGAATCGTCTTCTAGAGAAAAAAAACATATTGATGAATTATGAAAATACCATACCACCAACTAAAAGAAGTTATGGCTAACTGTCTTTTTGAGTACTGAGTGCACTGTTGTGGCTGCTAGCATAAACATGGAATACATATTCTGGAAAAAAGCCAAGACCTCTGTTTTGCAAAAACAAAGCACACTCTTCAGTGCTGTGATCTAAAGTTTTCGGTCAGCTGTTGCCTTGCTCTTCACACACACATGTTGCTCTCTGGGTGAATTATATCAACAATGGGCAAGTTCACCCATAACTTCAAGAGCCCCCAAGTCTTTATATGCTCAGCTGCAAAAAGTGTTACATATGACCCATTAATGCCTCCCTGAACCAGGTGGTATTCAAACTGTCTGCATTGAAGAATGGAAGAAAAAGTTGACCTTCAATATGCAGTATTTTCGAAATTATGGAGACAAAAAAATCCTCAGATGCAAAATGCTTCCCAAAATATAAGCCAAACATTTTTGAAATGTAAGAAATGTTCCTTCCAATATAATCCCACTACGTCTGTCTCCAAAGAAATAAGCTCACCAAAAATGCCCTCTTTACACAATATAAGGCCCAGAGTTCATCATTAAATTGTGATGTGCATAAAGTTAATTTGCATGTTAATGATATGAATCAAAGGTTTGCATTCTGAAGTGCAAGATTTCCGTATGTCGCCAGAATAAAGGATACAGAATAAACAAGCTGTCAAAAACTAATGTCTGCAATTTTGATTGATAGAACTCGTGCCAACGCAGCATAAATTTCCTAGTGCGGAAATAGGTGACAATGATATCAACCCTACATATCAATACTACATTTTGAAGTTTTTCGGAGTAATATCTTTCATTATTTAATTATTTCAAGTATACCATGGCTAGATTAAATGGTGACGAGCGCAGCTGAGTTAGGCAGTGGGCAGCAGTGTCACACTGAATAAATCTTCTTTACTTATGGAAAGTGAGTTGCTTAGATGTTAGAAGTATAAGTTATTAGTTCTCAAGCCAGTGTTGATACTGGATATAGTTTTAGATCTGATGAGCTACTGAATTGCCATCTTTAACACTAGTAAATAATTAAGCAATAAATGCCAATGGGTTTGCAAACACACCTCAGCACAACAATTACTGATGAAATTTTGTATCAAATAATTCAATATTTGTTCCCCTGGAAAAAATTAGCTTTCAATTTTACCAAGCAATTCAAGAACTCCAAGCAAGAGCGGAAAGCGAAAACAAAGCAACCCAATCACAAAATCGAAATATAACCTTTGTTATCGAGGAAATAAAACAACGGACGACCTCTCAACAAAGTTAATTAATACTATTAAAGGCCTATCAAAATGAAGTTCTTATGTTTGAATTCACCATTTTATACAAGAGAAGATTCAGTTCTAAACTGATACAACACGACGTGCCCCTTTAATTCATTCCCAAAAGTACTCGCATGAAATCCAAGCGATGCTTTATACATCGTCGTAATATTGATGGCCATTAATTTTGACAGCATTCAGAACGATTGATGACTCCATAATAATTTCAGCTAGACTACACTAGATAATGATAATAACTTGTCTGAGAGGCCAGAATGATTTCAATGGCAGGGCAAATAAATGTTCCGAGTTTAATCCGGTTCAAGCTGGTTGCTACTGTCAAGAGAATTGAGATAAAACTTAAATCGCTGATAGCACGTCTCCGATAAGCTTGTTTATTTTATGCAGAAATTCGCGCGTACCCAGGTTTACAATGTTATAACACACTATTCTTCATGAATTCGTAAAACCTTCCGTGCAGATGAAAAACAAACTATTTCTCAACCTTCGATTGTAGTGACACAGCGTGAAACTTGGCACTGACCTGAAGCAAGCGTCTTCTTCGGGAAGAGTTCACTTGCTTGCACGTAAACCATGCTGGAAGGCTGTTCGACCTCCTGAAAATCGAAAGCGGAAACGATTGTCACAAAAATTAAAAACAGTCAACTTATTTCATCACCCAATGAATATAGCAAACTAGCGTCATTTACGAAGTTCTTACCGTCGTCATTTCATGAACTGGCGCCCTAAGATAACGCTTCAAGATAGAACTAAAGAAGTACACGCAAAGCGATGTCCCTCTGCGTTGCAGAAGCTTGGAAGATGATCACTTCTCCGTCAAATCCGCGTCCCAAAATCTAGGGAGTAGAGAAAACTGTTAACGCTAAAAAGGTGGCCTACACATGCCCTAGGCCTCGTAGTCGCTGGCAACAGCGGTCCAAGACTGATTCATGCATGAATAAATCGCAAAACGCTAAATCGCATAGCATACCTCTTCCAACTTTACGATGGAAGGTGTGGACGTCAACAGAACAAGAAATGAAAATAAATGATGTCATGCAGTCCACTGCCATCCCATAATACGAACTACACCTCCAAAATGACCAAATATGGTTATTTCAGTGCACAAGAGACAGCAACACAAACAGGATCTGTTCAGCAGTGTTACAAATGAGATTATGCGTGGTAGGTAATTAAAAATGGCGTTTGCATGCTTCTTGCTAAAACTATAGAAGTTTTTCTTCTTTTTTCCTGATTCTTTGGGCAATTTTCTTAATTTTAGAGTCAGAAATGAAGCGAAGAAGAACACGCACGCCTTCAGATGCAGGTAGTCCTTCGCAGGAGAAGAAAGTGGTGAAATCTCCTCCAACCACTTCGAAATCTGCCTCTTCTTCTGCAACTTCAGTTAAAGATGGTCCTTCTAAATCTTCAGATGTCCAACATGCTGCAAACCTCGAGGATGTAGAAGTGGAGAAAAGAAGTGCCGCTGCTGATGTTGCTGCGTTTGAGAGAGGAACTGAGGAAATAAGAAAGCTTGTGGCCGAAATTCAGAGGGAAAAACTTATGGTAAGCTATCAACACGCCAGTTTTGAGGAAGACTTTCTGTTCTGTTTCCCTGTTTTCCCACAGTTTTACTTAAAGCTATTCGGCTATAAAATAGTACCACCTTCCACACTGGAAAGCCTTTTATGCATTCTGTGCATTCTAACCAAGTGAAGCAGGGCATGTTTGGTAGCTAGCATGGCTACCCATGGAATGTTTAGTGCCATTTAATGTACTTTTAGTCAGAAATACATATGGGTTATTGACCAAGCATGAGGTCAAGATGGCTGGATATTAGCCATGGTCTTTTTTGTTTGGATGTTTATGGATCCAGGGGAGTGGAGTTCCATAAATATACAGAAAAAGAACAAGGCCGATATCCAGCCATCTCGACTGAACAAGCTTGGTCAATAAAGGATTAATTATATGGGACAAAGAACAAATTGTTCTTTTTGACAGTTCAACTGCCTCCACATCCCGATTTTGAAAAAGTGATTACATGTATTTTTAGAAACTTCAATTAATATTTTGAGGTCCTAGACTGATATCTTAGTTTCCTATTTAGTATTTTACAAGTATATATTTCAATTAATGTATTTTAGGTCGTGTTCCATTGGGATCAACCGTTTTAACTGCAACCGGTTTGGGTTGATATGGTTGACATTTTTCAATAGAACACTTTTCCAACCGTTTTTGGTTGAAACGCGGAAACTCCTGGGAATAGTCCTTATGCGAGCTACAACCATGCAACATAATCACACAAATGCTTTTCCAACCGTTTCAACCTGGTTCGGGGCCGGTTGAAAAAGTTGATCAACCAACCAACTGAAAACTGTTTCCCCCCAATAGAACATGAAGAAACTTGACCAACCCAACCAACCAGAAACGGTTGATCCTGATAGAACACGACCTTAGTTCAGTAGTATACATGACCCCACAAGCTTTGTAGCTTTAACTCTTATTGTGTCAAAATAAAGCTTTATGTTTTATGTTATGTTATGTGGGATGTAGCGCCTATTCTCGTTACCCCTCTCTGACAGACATCCACAATAGTGGTGCATATGTCGCACAACCGCAGCCTGGGTACCACAATATAAAAGAATCAAAGTGGGCGAGATAGAGCCATCTTGCCTTCTTGGGTAGCCAATCAAAGTGCCAGACTTGGTTCATCTTGCCCTCTCAGGGAGTTAGGCATTTAATAAATTGTAGTGCAAGGGCTGTTCTGGCAAAAGAATGACCAAAAGGGTTTGACCCAGTATAGGGAGAAATCTCCACCCAGGAAAAGTGGCACACCTAGTAACTCGATGCCATAGATGAGCACTGGTCTTGTAAGATACCTATAGTAAATGTGAATTCACTAGTACTAGTATCCACAGTCTTGGTTATGTTTCTGCAGTTTAAAAACTGGTAACATGAGGAAAGTCAGCACATACTTGAATTTGTAAAATAAATAACTATTTGTTTTCAGGATGCTGACACAACTGAGTCCAGGATTAGGTGCACTCTGCTGTTTACAATCTTGAAAAAGCTCAACCGACTTGCTCACATGCGATGCAAGAAAGCCAGAGAAAGAACTCAAGAGGTTTGTTAATAAACCTAGATGGGAAGCCTAGTAATTATAAATGGAGTATCCTGTAACCCAAGTAAGCAGACAGCCCTTGTCATGTACTCATGTGCAATTATCAGCCCATAGGCTGTTAACTTAAATGCTCTATTATCTTTACTCACCACTAAATTTGTTAATTGTGAAGAACAGCTCTCTGAAAAAACCTGTTTGCCGTCTGTCAGCTGACTGTTGGTGGTTTGTTGGCTGACTGTTGGCCATTTTTTGGCTGTCTGTGGGTTGACTGTCAGCGGACTGTTGTCCGACAGAATGCCGACAGGTTGTGGCCACAGCACAGACCAACAGTTGGCCAAAAGTCAACTGGCAGATGGCCAACAGTCAGTCGTCAGTCCGCCAACAGTTGGTAACATGTTGATAAGATGTCAGTAAGTTTTTGTGAATTTGTAACACTTATTTCAATGTTGTTTCTCAGTTTTTGCTCTACTCTGCTTGAATGTATGATACACTGTAAATTCAAAAGAAAGGTATTTCCTTCTAAGCTTACAGCTAGCCCCAGTGCTTCAGAAAATGACCAGAATATTTATTCAATTACAACAATGACACCATTGTTTAAAAGCCCAATGAAGCTACACAAATAATCATGCTAACAACAAAATAATGTACACTGTGCATGAACTGTCCTGCTTTTTTGTTTGCTTTTATTTAGGCCAAGCAAAAAGTGGATAGTCTTCACTTGCAATTACAGAACCTTCTTTACGAAGTGATGCATTTGAAAAAGGAAATTACAAAATGTCTTGAGTTCAAGTGAGTAAAGCGTGCCATTACATACTTTGCCTTCACCGTGTTCCACAGAAACTAAAATTAATGGCTGAATGTGTTCATTAGGTCAAAGGATGAAGAAGTAGAACTTGTGCCAGAAACTGAATTTTTCAGGGACGCTCCTAAAGAAATATCCAAACCTGTGAGTATCTTTGACAATGCTTGTACTGAAAAAAAGTTCATGTCATGTTAAAGGAGAATTTTAGTTTTCTAGTAAAGCAGTGTAGGGAGAGACATATCATATAATAGCCTGCTAGTAACAGGCATGGGTTCGTACTGGTTTCCACCGTTTTATGGAAATTGGTCAAATTTTTCAGAATGACTCAGAAACCCAGGATGGGAACTTTAGGGAGTTGAAATCCAAACCATTTCCTGGGCAAGTATGGCCCCTGACCCCTCTTAAAGCTTGTGCCTTTGGCAGTTGATATTTCTGAAATTGTTCACCATTCATCCTAGATCTGTGCCTGAGCAACTTTGTAAATGCTTTGTAAATGCTATATAGCCCTTTGTGTGTGTTCATGAGAGTGATGCTGGTTTATATATTGGAGTTGAACACGATGTGTGCAAAAAGTGCTACTGTGTAATGCAGCAATAAAAAGGTTATTTAAATGTAGCTATGCAAGCCTTTGCATGTATTGTTGCATTGCATCCCTGTGATTGCAGATAATGCTATTTTGAAAAATGTTTTAAAAATTTGTTTTGCAGGATGTCACTAAGGGAGATTCTCATCAGCTGATGTTAGCAAGACTTGATTGGGAACTAGAACAAAGGAAAAGGTACTCTAATCAAATTTACGCTTAAATTAACATGTGAGATCAATTTTACTTTTTTTCTCTAGGTGCTGTGGCAATAAGTTGCATCTTCTTCTTGGAGGATATTGCCTTGAAGTACAGTTGAATTAATACCATTTAAATATAAAAGACACATGCATGGCAGTCAGTATATGTAAGTTATTGACCAAGCATGGGGTCAAGATGGCTGGATATTGTCCATTATCTAGCCATTTGGGTTGAACAGACTTGATCAATTAAGGTTTATTAAATAGCATAAACATTACTTTTGTCCAGTGGGAAACTGCTAGTAATCCTGAGTGGGTACGATAGCCCCATCTTAGTCCAGTTATAGTACAGGATTTGGTTCATCTTACTTGCTTGTAGAGCTCACCATATAATAACTAGAGTTATTTCAACTCATTGCAATGTAACATAAAAAGCAAGCCATAGTATAGATGTATAGAACAGATGGATCTTTTTCTGAAATGAACATCTAGTGGAATTGTGGTTCTAAAACAAAGCATGTTACTAATTTTGACTACAAATTTTCAGGCATTGTCTAAACTCTATCCCACCTCTTGTTGCTGGGTGGTGAATACAATACAGAATTAACTTTGTTATCATTTCAGGCTGGCTGCACAAAAGGAACAATTTCTTGAGAAAAAAGAAACACTCATGAAAGAGATTCACACAAAGAAAGAATTCTTAGATAGTTTACAACCAAGACTAGAAAATATTTTGAAGGTAAAGAAAATAAGTCATGAAGAAATGAAATGCACAAAAATGAAGCTCATTTTGGTGCCATCAAAATTTTGAAGAGTTCCTGTGTTGCATAAATGCATCTTTTTTTTGCATGCTTGCTCCGTTTCTACAGTACATGAGAGACATCCCTGATTCCACCACTGATGACATAACATATGATTATCTAGAGATCTGTAAAATCTACTTTTAATAAATGTCGTTGCCTGTTGCTTGCTCACAAAAAGTAAGAGCCTAGCAACAGTGAATCCTTGGCACACGACAGGTCTCTATTTTTTTTATGTCATGACGTATAGAGTTTTTTGGGTTGAATCACAGCCATATCTCTTGATGCAAAGAGAACCATCTGTTTATTCAGGCTAAAGAATAGAAGGCTCATAAGCATTGACCCTGCCTTTAAATTCTTGTTTCTGTAGCATGTGGTAACTTGGAGTGTTGCTACTCTCCCTGGATAGGATGGCAGTCTCTCACAGGTTACTTGCCCCCCCCCCCCCCCCCCCCCCCC